CACATGCCCATCTCAAATGTTTGGAGAGAACCTATAAGTTCATCCACCTTCATGTTGCATATGTCTTTGACTTCTTCAATGTCGGTTACTTTCATAGCAAACCTTTTAGGTAAGGACCTGGGAATCTTTCTTACAAGCTTCTCTTCAGTCATCTTTTCTCCCAGAGCTCCTGAGGTGTTTGCAAGTTCAAGAACATTCATGTAAAACTCATGAATGGTCTCATCTTCCTTCATTCTCAGAGCTTCAAATTTGGTGGTCAGCATTTGAAGTCTTGACATTTTAACCTTGGAGATTCCTTCATGAGTAGTTCTGAGAGTGTCCCAAACATCCTTTGCTAGTTCACAGTGGTGTACCAGTCTAAAGATGTTTTTATTATACCATTGAAGAGGGCATTCAATGCTTTAGAGTTCCCAAGAGCTAATGCCTCTTGCTCTTTGTTCCATTCCTCTTCAGGAATCAACACATCTACTCCATCCTTGTCAGTCTTCACAGGATGTTTCCAGCCAGAGTTTGCAGCTCTCCAAGCCTTGCTGTCTAAGAATTTTAGGAATGCAATCATCCTAGGCTTCCAATGATCATAATTAGATCCATCCAGAATTGGAGGTCTATTAGTGAAGCCTATATCTTTATCCATAGTACCATAATTTGTTTTCCCTAGAACTCACCCAGATTTAAACAGGCAGGGTGCCTACTCTGATGCCAATTGAAAATTCTGACAAGCACACGATGGATGTTATTACCAAAGTTATAACATCCACTGTGACATCTGCTACTTAACAGCTAATAATCAGGAATAATTAAAGCAGTAAATAACACAGCAATTGTTTACCCAGTTCAGTGTCAACAACACTTACATCTGAAGGCTACCAAGCCAGGGAGGAAATTCACTACCAGTAGAATCAATTCAAAGTTAAACCTCCAGTTTACACTCCCCACTTAATCCCTACCCAATGACACTTCAACCTAGAGACACTCTAGACCTGAGTATACTCACTCACTCCCCCTCAATCACACAACAGTGATATCAAACAATTACAGAAGACAATATTAAGAGACACTTCATACACACCTTGATCTTGCTTCACAGCTTTGATCAAGGAACTCCCACACTCTTACTTCACAGCTTTGAGTGAGACACAACCTAGAATCTACCTATCCAATGCAAATCATCCACCAGACAATTGCTTGGAGTACAAGTATTCCTAGACAGAATTCACACGTGAAGACTAGCCTTCTTCACTTCCAAGGACTCTGCAATCTGCACTATATATTCTTCTTCTGTCAAGTGCTGCTATTCAGGATTGCATCTTCTGATCTTTATAGCAAATGTCAGTCCTTTTGAGCCTTGGTGCATTAATTAGGTTTTATCCATAACAAACCTATTCTCAATGACCTGCACACTTGCCACTTATTTCAGGGATATTCTAGTTCGCCCAGGGCTTCTAGAAAGTCTCCTGATATCCAGCTTGAGCTCCCATTCTGTTTCCTGGTTTATAGCTACCAGAAAAACAACTTTGCCCGCTGGATGTCATACATTCAGTGTTATGACATTCTGTATGACATTCAGCTTAACTAAGTTAACTTATAGTTAACTTACCCTGCACACACATCATTAAGTATGTCCTAAAATTTAGTATGACATACATGCATACTCTAAAGTTTTGCCACAAAATGCAGCCAATCAAGAACACTTACAAAGAATGAATCATAATTCCCTCAAAATTCCTTTTTGTTAAACCTAACTTTGGGCCTTAAAATTGGGCTTTTCAACTTCACCCTCACTAACTCCTCCTCAAATGTCCATTTTTCCCTTAATTCACTTATATTTATTTAAAATAATAATAATACCAATATATTCATATTATATACTATTATTTAAATAAATAACTCAAAATCCATAATTCCCAATATTCACACCAACTACCGAAAATCACCGAAAATGCGAATATTCATATTTAAATAAATATTTCAAGAAAAGATGGCTTTTAAGAAAACTGATGATGCTGGCGAAGAGCTGGAACAAGGAGAGATTTCTGTTGAGGTGGAGCATGTTGATGCTGAATTGCGTATCCCAAATGAAGGCGAAGAAGACGCAAAAGATGTTGTTGAAGATGAGGAGACTGATAATGACTACCTGCTAGCAAGAGACAGGTCGAGGAGAGTCATCAAGCCACCTCAGAGACTTGGGTATTCAGATCTTATAGCTTATGCCTTAATCTCTGCAAGTGAGGTTCTAGACGAAGAACCTAGAGATTATAAGGAAGTTATGAGGAGTTGAAAGAACACTGAATGACTGAAGGCCATTGATGATGAGATGAAATATCTTCATGATAACAACACCTGGGAAATGATCAAGAAACCTGCTGGAGCCAGGTTAGTTAGATGTAAATAGATTTTTAAAGTTAAGGAAGGAATCGAAGGAGTGGCGTCGAAGAGATACAAGGTAAGATTGGTCGCTAGGAGGTTCACTCAGAAAGAAGGTGTCGACTTCAATGATGTGTTCTTTACTATTGCGAAGCACAAATCCATTCGAATGTTGCTTGCCACGGTGGCTCAGTTCGACCTTGAACTGGAATAGATGGATGTGAAGACTGCGTTCTTGTATGGTGACTTAGATGAAACAATCCTGATGAGACAACCTGAAGGGTATGTCAAAGGGAAGGAAGATTATGTGTACAAGCTGAATAGATCCTTATATGGACTGAAACAATCTCTTCGATAGTGGAATAGGAGATTTGACAAGTTCATGGCATGCATAAGTTTCATCAGAAGTCAGTTCGACCACTGTGTTTACTTCAGATTTCGACCGGGTAATTCATTTATTATTTTGTTGCTTTATGTGGATGATATTCAAATTGCAAGCAACAATGTCGAAGAGGTAATAAGGGTGAAGGTTGAACTCAATAAGGAGTTCGACATGAAGGATCTGGGAGCTGCGTCTAGGATTCTCGAGATTGACATCCGAAGAGATAGAAAGCAGTCGAGATTATGCTTATCTCAAGAGGCATACCTACAGAAGATTCTCGAAAAGTATGGTATGTCGAATTCAAAGCCCGTTGTTACTCCGAAAAACCCTCAATTCAAGCTGAGTATAGATCAGTGTCCCAACACTGATGTTGAAAGAACTTATATGAATAACATTCCATATGCTAATATAGTGGGTTCTTTGATGTATGTTATGGTATGTACTAGGCCTGGCATAGCATATGTAGTAAGTCTTGTAAGCAGGTACATGACGAATCTTGGAAAGGCTCACTAGAAAGCATTGAAGTGGATTTTAAGGTACATAAATGAGTCTCTAAATAAAGTCCTAATTTATGGTGGAGCTTTGGGTGAAGATAGTAAAGCAGCAATCGAAGGATATGTCGACTCTGATTATGCAGGTTGTATGGATTCCAGAAATTCTATTTCTGGATATGTGTTCACTATGTTTGGGATAACAATCAGTTGGAAAGCAACACTTCAAAAGGTCGTTGCCTTATCAACCACTGAAGCGGAGTATATTTCCCTAACTGAAGCTGTGAAGGAAGCATTGTGGCTTGAAGGTTTTGCAAAGGAGCTGAAACTTCAAGGTCGAGTTATCACTGTTAAATGTGATAGTCAAAGTGTAATACACCTGTCGAAGAATTCAGCCTATCAACCAAGCACATTGATGTGAAGCTTCATTTTTTCAGAGGGTTAATCGAGTGTGGAGAAGTCCAAGTGCTGAAGGTTTCGACAAATCATAATGTTGCTGATATGATTACCAAGACATTGTCCAGTTGCAAGTTTTTCCACTGTATGCAGTTGATAAAGTTGCATGAAGAAAGCTAGTTCCTTGATCTTATAGAGTTAGATCCAAGGTGGAGATTTGTGAGATATTGGATCGAACTCTAGTATAGTCGAAGGGTAGCTTCTGGTTTGACAGGAATTAAACATGAGGTCGAAGCATGTTCACATGTTGCTGGCTGAGTAATGTGTGTTGTAGTCGAAGTTTGTTGTAACATGCATTAGTCAATATTGCTAGGGTTGTTAGCATGTTGAATTGGGCCTTGCTTGTAAGCCCAACTGCTTAAGCTAGCTTGTATCCTAAGTTAGCTTGTAATGGGTAATTGTTAAAAGTCCATTAGGTTAGTATGCTATTTTTCTTATAAATAGGATGTTAATTTCTCAATCTTGGAATTAGAAAAAATAGGAAGATAAAATTCTAATTTCAAAAGAGAGAGGTTATTTTGTTATTCTTATATACTTGTAATCTTGTTTTGAGAGTAAGGAAAGAATAACAGTTTAATAATCAATCCTTGTTATTCCTTGCTGTTTTACTTTGTCTTCTTTATTAACCATAACCCTTGTGTGTTTCTTGATCATTAAGAAATTATTTATACTTTATTATAAGATATCCAATTCACAACACAACCTAAGACTAATAATACATGAGATATTTAAAAGATGATATGTATGCGATATGGATGATATGGATGCAGTATATCTGGATGTAAAGGAACTACATTAATGGATATGCATGGTTTAGTGAATGCAAGAAGATGATTGGATTCACATTGTTCTTTGATCAATTATTACAGAAATATACCTATTGATTTCTTGAAAATTGAAAAAACAAAAGTTTTTTAAAGTGAAAATAAAAGTATTAAATTAATCTTTTCTATATAAATATTCCTATTAAAAAAATAATTTATTTTGTCTCATTATAAGTTAAAGTAAAAAAAAAATATTAAATTAGTCTTTTTTTATATAAATAATCCTATTAAAAAATAATTTATTGTGTCTTATTCGTTTTCAACTTTTTTAATTAAGAATAATTAATTGTGTTGACTTCATTAATAAAATAAATCTTATTTAATAAAAAATAATTATTAATTATATGAATTGAGATGAAGTGAATTAATATATACTAACAAAAAAATTAGTATTTTATTAATACTACTATATATTTTTTTCCCTATAAATACCCTTACAACCATATACCATAACATTCATCACTTGTACTATCACTCACACAAATGGCTAGCTCAGTACTTATCAAGATTACTTGTTTGGCTATGATATGCTTGGTTTTGGGTATTCCCTTAGCCAATGCTGGTCAATCATGTGGTCAAATAAAAAGCTCCTTATTACCATGCCTGGGGTACCTTAAGCACCCAGGACCAACTGTCCCTGTAGTATGTTGCAATGGTGTTAGAACTGTTAATGACCAAGCCAAATCTCTTCCTGAGCGTAAAGATGCTTGTGAGTGCATCAAATCAGGTTTAATCAGCATACCTGGACTAGATCCTAATGCCGTTCAGGGTCTTCCTAACAAGTGTGGTGTCAAATTGTCTTTCCCAATTGGTGCCAACATGGACTGTAGCAAGTAAATCTTCTTAATTTCACAATTTTTCTTATCTTTGTTTCTAAGCACTACACTTTTCATGCATTGAAGATTTATAAAGAAATCTAATGTTTATTTATCTTTACTCATTGCAGGATAGGGGGCATGGCGCACTGAGCTTAGAGAGCTTGAACTTTATGAATAAGTAATAAACTTGGTTTGGTAATAACCAAGACAGAAAAAAAATAAAAGATGCTTTAATTTCTCCAATTGTAACTTTATTCTCACTAGGGATCACTGTATTATGAGTTTTTATAATAACTTATTTATCTATTTATAATTTAATAAAAAAGACTCCAAATTATTATTTTTTTTTTTTTACATCTCATCACTTTATAAGCCATAGTCTTATTATGACTCCACTATACAAATTTTAGTTGCCAACTCTTTTCCCCCTTCTATGTTTTAGGCCTGTTTTTTATTTACTGAAAACAATGATGATCATATAAATTGATAAAATACATCAAATCGTTATAAATAGTAAAGAATGAATCTGTAAACAAATTCATAGAATCCACGTTAACAGTACAATGTTTACAAATGTAACAAAATTTTAAAATATGTCGAAATTAAAATGCTCAAACTTTCCATGTTTTTGAGTCTGCAGCGTTGATGACGTCAAAGTCATTAATTTAATATATACTAAATTGAAATTAATCTGTCAATCTAAACTGAACAAACGCTGCACCAAAACGGAAAAATAAAATAATGTCGAAATAAGACAACAACCAACACAAATTCACACTACGACAACGAAATTATGATAAAAACTAAAAACATATGTAAAATTATTTATTTGAATGAAAAGGAAAAGAAATAAAATTTAGAAAGATAATTTTTAATTAAAAAAAATGGACCCAGAAACCATTTCTCTTTATGATTTTGTATGAAAAGGAAAAGTTTTCTGAATTACCTTATGCAATAAAGCCTTTTTCTTTGGTCTTTATTGACTCATCAAATCATTTTAATATTCTTTGATGCACTAAAACTTTTTCTTGTATTAAAATTTCAAAAACAACAAGACAAATACAATCTCAAATATTATTCACCGTATTTATATGATGAATAGTATTTTTATTTTTTTATAAAAAAATATTTTTTTAAAATTATTTTTATAGCATAAATATAAAATTTATTATTAATCGATTTTATTATTATATTAACCACAAAAATATAAGTTATTAACTACATATTTTACTAATAATTCATTAATTAAATTTACAACTTCATTACCCAATAATAAATTACATAATATTATCTAAGTTTTAAGATTAAAATATAAAATATAAAAAACAGTCTTTACTCTTTATTATTAACCAATTTTATTTCCTTTTTATTTTATATATTTCGTAATTTAATATCAGAATTTGATTAATAGAGTATAAAGATTGAGTATTATATTTCATATTTTAATGTCAAAGTTTGAATAATGTTAGGTATTTTATTGATTAAAGAAGTAGTAAACTTGATTAATGAATTATAAGTAAAATATGCAGTTATTGGGATTCGAAGCGTGTTCCCTAATAGAAATATTATCTAGATTTTATAAAAATACTGAGGTATTATATTTAATATTTTTTTAGAAGAGTTGCCGCTCACTTATTACTATATTACAAAATCGAGGAAAAAAGTTGGTTTAAAAAAAATCAAACTTGTCGCTCACAGGACTTATAAGCTTAGTGTTTGGCATGTTTGAGGTGAAACCTTCATTATAAAAAGTATTATTTGTAGTAGTGCAAAAAGGAACACAACAGGTTTCAATGGAAAACTATTGAAGAGTGGAGTAGGTAAAGCGAGGATGAACATCGAACCACTATATATCTCGGTGTATTATCTCTCTCTCTCTCTCTCTCTCTCTCTCTCTCTCTCTCTCTCTCACACACACACACACACACACACACACACACTTTTGCGTTAAATTTTTGTAGGATATTGCATGTTTAGATTTTCAATTCTTAGCGTAGTTTATTGTTTATTCAATTGGTAGCGTTGTATTACGTAAGGTTCGTTTGTGTTATATTTAGTGCCTAATCGAGCTTTAGTGGTGATTAAATTTTGAGAAACTGTTGAGGTTAGAATTCATTGATATTGAATCATTGTATAAATACACCTCTTGAATTATAGAATTGAATCAATTGATTATCTTTTGTGTGTCATTATAAAATCATCTTTGGTATTTGTGAATTGGTTAAGTGTTAACGTGATCAAGTTCCAACAAAAGTATAATTTTCACATTTTCTCTTTAAACCTTCTGCGCACATTTTTGAAAAATCTCTGATATTCTATTTTAGAAAAATTAGTGTAAGTATCTTTTTTTAAATAGTTTTATTCACCCCCTCCACCCCCCCCCCCCCCCCCCCTCTATACTATTTTTCTACTTCATATTCTCACCCACCATGTTTCACATAATTGTATAAGTTGTTGAAATACATACTTCTAGAAGATAACAATTTGTCAAACCATAGTTATAAGGCCAAGAAGATGTTGTGTTCAATGGGTTTGGAATATATCAAAATAAATGCATGCCTTAATGATTACATATTATACAAGAAATATATGAAAAATGGAATAAATACCCAAAATATGGTTAGTCACGCTACAAGGTGAGGGATAACAATGGTGATGATGACGACGATGTTAGTAAAAAGTGTCTTTCTGCCAAAGTGTTATGGTATCTGTCAATAATTCCAAGATTCAAGAGACTATTTGATCATGTAAATGACGCAAAGAATATTAGATGACATGCAGATGAAAGAAAATATAATGGAAAAATTGCCAAGTAGCTGATTCTTTCCAACGGAAGAAAATTGATTCGTTGTTCCTGGATTTTATCCATGAGCCAAGAAAAAAATCAGGCTTGGACTTGGCACAAATGGAATGAACCCCTCTGGTAATCTCAGTACTAACCATACTTTGTGGTTTGTTCTTCTCACGATTTACATTTTATCTCCTTTGTTGTGCATGAAGCGCAAATATTTGTTGTTATCTATGATAATTTTGAAGGTGAGAAAAACACAAGAAGAGGGGTTGAATTGTGTTGGATTTTTCTCTTCTAAGCCTTTTCTTCTTATTCTGATTGATCTTAATCAGATTCTAAATACTTAGCTCAGAGTCTAACTCGGATTCATTATGTTAGCTTCTTATTGTCTTTATCATATTCTGAACCAGAATATGACTCAGAGTTGCATAATTAATAGCAGAAAAGTAAAAGCAAAGACACACATCAAATATCCTAGTTCCTCTTACAACTTGAGAGTAGTTCAGTCCCCTTGTATTTTTAAGGTATTTTCACTATAACCAAACTAATTAAAAATGCTCAAGCACCAAGCAAGAGACTTATATGCTCAAGCACACAAGCAAGAGACTCCCAATTCTCAAACCCTCAGATAAGGGACTTTTATGCTCAAGCACACAAGAAAGAGACTTCCAATGCTCAAACCCTCAAGTAAGAGACTTTTATGATTAAGCATTCAAGCAAGAGACTTTAATTACTCAAGCACTAAAGCAATAGACTTCTGACTCTATAACAAATTGCTAAGAAATTTAGGTAACAACTACACTTAATATACAATCATAGATGTAGACACAATGCAACTTAGAAAGAATCTAATACATAAGAACTTTTAAAGTATACAAAATGTTAAGAGGTTCTAAGTCTATCTTGTTTTAATAGAGTGGCTTCTCTTTGAAATGTCAAGATTCAGAGTCTTGTATTGCAGTATATTAGTCTTCTTCTTCTTCAGATCTTCTGCTCCTTATATAGAGAGGAAAAAAAAGAGACGTTGGAATACTTTCACGAAATGGTGAAAAATATTTGTACTTGATTGGACACATCAAGAAAACACTTTTCTGTAATAGGAGTTATCCATTGAAGCTCAGACGAAAATAAAGAGATTTTTCCTTAAGTCTTCACGTGAATAAAAGATCTTTGAATCTATCAGAGTTACCTCATTTGAAGAGATTATCCTTCAGAGGTTGAATTTTTCAGAATTCGTTCTTTAGAGGCTGGTCTCTTCAGAGTCTTCTTCTTGACTTCTGAAGCTTCAGAGTTTGGATCACCAGAGGTTAACCTTCTTCAGATGTTAACTTCTTAGAGACAAGACACCAAAAGACGTCCCCAATCAAGTAGTGCATTTTGACTCCTTAAAAATAATGAATGTAGTGCACAAAATTTTTGTATGTTGATTGATTTTTTATTTGATGTAATGATGTGTAAAATGCATGTCGTTTTGGTGTCATTTTGGTTTTAATATAATGTATATTTTTTTGTTCATAATAGTTGTCAATTTTTTTTTATTCACAAGTGTATTGTGTTGCTATTTGTGGTATGTTTGTGTTTCACACAAATACATGTTAAAAATTAGAATTTTATAAAATAAAAAATATATATTTTAAATAAATAATATATTTCACCACGGCTGGTTCTTCCGACCATGGTGATATGTAGCAAGCTATCCAGTTTGATAAATCACAAAAATGATATTTATGAGTATCAAACCAATAACCTTTCTACTTTTTACTATGGTTGTTAATTCCAACCATAGTTATATCTAGCACACTTTTTAGTTTATCACCATGGTCAATAGCTCATGGTGGTAAGTAGCTCACTTATTGCCACACCCTTCGTTACTACGGACCACCAACCATAGTTAATTTATTTTAACTGTTATGAAATGTATATTTTGTAGTAGTGCAAACTCATATTCCATTAACGATACTTTATTTATCCCCTAAATTAAGTTCTATGTATTATTGTTATTATTGTTATATTTGTTGTTGTTGTTGAATAAAATACTAAATAACAATAGTTTCTCAATGTTGCCCGTCAATAAAAAAATTCAATAATTTATCGCTTGCCTTGACTTACAACATTGAGAAATTACTTTTAACTATATTGAAAAGATATTACAACTCAAAAATAAAATGGTGAAATGGTAAGAAATTAAAATGGAAACAACACATTGTGTTACTTCCTTTTTTATAAAA